TAAGACAGAGACAGGAGCAGGCTGTGCGCTGTTGGCAGCTGCGAGCTCTGTTGTGGCCTCTGTGGAAGGCACACACATCGCCTGACAGGGCCCTCTAAGTCTCAACTCGACAGTTGCTCTCATCTCAGCCCCAGGGAAGTTCCGGCTCTTTCTGGCTGCGTAAGCGTGAATGACTGTACCTCTTTAAACCTCAGTTTCTTCTCTGTAAAATAAGGCCTCTAGTACTATCTCCCGGCTAGGATTGTCACAGGGTTGAGTGAGGTGACACGTGTAAAGCTGTCAGCACAGTGTAGAGACAGGCCCCATTGTGACGCTGCTGCTGATGAAAAGCTGTGTGGCGCTGGGAGTCAGCAGACTTACAGTCCCCTTGGGAGAAGCGGGGCTGATGTGCTCGAGTGGATTTCGAGACACGCTGTGACTGAGAGGCATGGGGGCAATGTTTGGAAGGGCCCGCGTGGCCCCTAGCTTGGCTGACCAGGAGGAGCTCTCTAGGAGGACTTGGTCTACCCTGGCTTTGAGGGCAGAAGCTGCGGGAGATGGGCCCCCGATACTGTGGTGCTTCGGCAGGGCCAGTCAGAGTACCCTCCGTGGGGAGAGGAAGCTGTGCCCTAACAGACAGCTGGGGTCTTGGCAGGTAGGGTGGGGACTCACTCATCAATACCCTTCCCTTTCTCCTTTTCTCTTCTGCAGTTGATGTCTAGGCCGCTGTTACCACTTTTGCTGGCATCTGTTCTTGGGAACTTCGTATTCCTACTTCACACTCCACGCTATTCTGTTTGTGTTCAGAGTGCAGCATGCCCACCTTGCCTTGCGCATTCTTCCTACCTCCACGTTGCTCTGCCCTGGGACCCGAGGGAGCACTTCATTGCAGATCTAAGTCTGGGGTGAAATGGCTGGGTTGTCATAGGGCCCGTGCACACCTGATGACTGAGTTACTGCCTGGGTGTGTGCAGAGGCCTGCCAAGGCCTGCCATTCTGCTTTCCACCTTCAGGAAGGGCACTGTCTGCCCACCTCCACCCACACTTGGCCTTTCCTGCTCTCTAGTGGTGCTCAGGGGTAAGGGGAACCTTGCTGTTCTTGGATGCATCCTTCTAAATACCAACAAGTGGGAGAGTCTCTCTGCAAGGCTGTTACCTTCTTGTGCTTCTGCTGTGCTCTACAATTGCGTGTTCCTGTCCTTTGCCCATCCTCCAGCCCAGCCCTGTCTTTTTCATTTTGTGTAGGATTTCCTAGGGTATTATAGATTTTTAGTTGTGTCTGATTGGGAGACAGGATTCATAGTCTGCTAACTTTCCATGTTGTTAGTTTCTAAACAGAAATCCTAACTTTTGGTGTAATAAAAATGTGTAAGTGCGTCCTTATAGCTTTTATTTTTGAAATTTTGTTTAAGGATCCCTCCTCTAAGTCACAAAAGGATTCTTCTCCATTTTCTTCTAGTTACTTCATGGTTTTACCTCTCACATATTTCATTAATTTAATAATACATGAAGGAATGGCAGGGTCTCGCTGTGTCATCCAAGCTGGAGTGTAGTGATGGGATTGTAGTTCAAACTGTCTGTGACCTCAAACTCACTGTGACCTCACACTACGGGAACTATAGGTATGTGCAACCACACCTGGCTAATTTTTTTGTTTTTGTAGAGATAGGGTCATGTTGCCCCAGCTGGTCTCAAAATCCTAGCTTTAAGTATTCTTCCTGCCTCAGACTCCCAAAGTGCTGGGATTACAGACATGAGCCCCCATGAGTGGTCCACCTCCCACATTTTTATTGTGTGCCTGTATGTAGTAGACCCCTGTGGAAAGCAGTGGAGAAAAAGCAGTGGATTAGAAAATGATGTGGGCTCGGCACCTATAGCTCACCCAGCTAAGGCGCCAGCCACGTACACCTAAGGTGGCGGGTTCGAATCCCCAGCCCGGACCCGCCAAACAACAATGATGGCTGCAACCAAAAAACAGCTGGGCGTTGTGGCGGGCGCCTGTGGTCCCAGCTACTTGGGAGGCGGAGGCAGGAGACTCGCTTGAGCCCAGGAGTTGGAGGTTGCTGTGAGCTGTAATGCCACGGCACTCTGCCCAGGGGGACAGCTTGAGGCTCTGTATCAAAAAAAAAAAAAAAGAAAGAAAATGATGTGGTCCTGTGTCCTCCCAGGCCTGTCACACAGGAAGTGAGGCTGGCATGGGGGGAGAGGCAGTGGTGCCCTCCGGCCTGGCTACATAGGCAGAAGGGTACAGGTGTGAATTACCCTCTGCATGCCACTCCCTTGCTCCATTGGCATCAAGTCAGCACTGAGACAGCCAGAACCTCACTGGGGTTCCTAGGGGTGTCCAGAGTCCACTGGGATTCCTTATATGCGGAGACCTGTGCTAGCAGGAAGGGGCAGGGCTCCCTTGGTGGCTCAGGGCCACTGCAGCATGGGGTGAGAGTATGTTCTTTGGCGAGGTCTTGCCTGGTTCCGTTCTCACTTGGGCCACTGGCTTTACCCTGGGACTTTGGCTATAATTGGGTAATTTATCTGTGAGATGGGCTGGGCCTGTGGTCACCAACCAAAGAGGAGGGTAGAAAGAATGAAGTGGAAAATCTACGCAAAGGGACCCTTCAGTGGCCCCAGCAGTCCCCTCTGACCTATTAGCCCTCTGTTAACAATAGTTGGGGGTGGGACTGGGAGTTCCATCCCCTCCCGTACCCAGGGTCCCAGCAGTCTCCCTGGCCTGCCTCATAATCCTTTGGCTTTCCCATTGCCTTTGGCCACTGTGTTCCACAGAAAGGAGTTGGCCAGAAAAGTAGGCTGTAAAGTCAGAGAAGCTGACATTCTCCCACATGCTCTTATGACAGGCATTTCCAGACTGTTGATACCCAGGTGCCTGCAGGGTGATCTATGAAGTGGTGTGACCTGTTTGAACAGTGCTTGCCCGGAGCACTGGGAATGTGCCTGGAAACCAGGGGATGGTGTTACCTCTGTCGCCCCCACCTGCCACCTAGAGGACAAAGCAGCTCCTTTTTCTGGCCAGCTGTTCTCAGTCCCCACTAATGCCTCGGTTTCAGGTGTCCAGTCTCATGCCTTCCCTCCCCCAAACCCCTGAACCCTGAGCATGGCACCTTTCAGCCCTAGTGGTTTCTCACCACCTGACCCCATCTCCAGCATCCCACATTCTGTGTTCCATTCTTAGGGGACTTCTCACAGTGCCCCAAGGGGGCCTTGCTGACACCCCTTCTTCCTTTTGCCAGTGCTATTCTCTGGGTGAGCCTGAACTAAGAGGAAATTAGGAACATGATAGCTTAGACCTAGTTTAAAAATGAGTATTTTGTGAATGAATCAATTGATAGGTTTGGAAACCAGGCTACATCCTGGGCGTCCTAGAAAAGGAGCACAAATCATGGCAGTGGTTGTAGGGGGCAATGGAGAGGGGTGGACTTCAGGGGGACACAAGAGAGCTTTGTGGGGAGAGAGAAATATTACGTGCCTTGATATTGAGGTAGTAAATGTCAGTATATGTTGTCTAAAGTCATCTAAGTGTACCTTTGTAAAGGGTGACTTTGCTTGTGCGTAGATTCTGTCTCAACTTAGAATGACAGTCACCAGAGCTCTACTGCTAGGACAGCTGCAGTGCCTTGCCTTGACACTGGTGGTTCATGGGGATGGAAACTCACAGTGATTCCCCGTCATGAGCTCCCAGCTAACAGTTTGATTTACCAGTGGACAGCAGGGCTGATGTTGCTGGAGCATCTTGGTGCCTGCTGCCTGGCCCATTCCCTTCTCTCTTTGTCCCTGTGCTCAGCTGGTCTGCCCCCCGTTCCCAGCAGTAGTCAGAAGGCCAGCACATGCTCCTCTGTCACCTCCAGGACCAACTGAGAGCTAAGCTAATCATGCTCACCAAAATATTCTTCTTGTATCCAGATTTCAGGAGTTGTCATTTAAACAAGAACATCAGCTACTGTGTGCTGATGAGTGGTGCCAGCAGGTAATCTAAGAAATAGCTATTTTTGTTTTCCTTAAATCTTTTCCCAAAGGTTTTGAAAATCTGAGAGATAGGCAAGTTTCTGAAGAGCCAAAATACATGTTTGGTGGAGATTAGCAGTGTGACACTGCTGCTAGTAGAGAGATGAAAGCCAGCTCCACATTTTGTTTGCTTTTTCTTTTTTTTTTGAGACAGGAGCCTCAAGCTGTCCCCCTGGGTAGAGTGCCGTGGCATCACAGCTCACAGCAACCTCCAACTCCTGGGCTCAAGTGAGTCTCCGGCCTCAGCCTCCTGAGTAGCTGGGACTACAGATGCCCGCCACAACGTGCAGCTATTTTTTGGTTGCAGCTGTCATTGTTGTTTGGCGGCCCTGGCTGGATTTGAACCCACCACCTTGGGTATATGTGGCTGGTGCCTTAGCCACTTGAGCCACAGGCGCCGAGCCCACATTTTGTTTTCAAGGCAACTGTCGAGGCTAAATTGGGCTGTGGCTATCTTAGCTCCTGCTGCCACCAGCTCAGCGATACTAAATTGTGTTTTGTTGAGTGTTTTTTGATTCTACAAGATGACAGCAAGGCCATATTTTAAGGGGAGTGAGCACATGATGTCACTTCCAAGAGGTTGTGAAAATGCCCACTTTTGCCTTCCTACAAGGGGCTGTTAAAGAACTTGAAGGTCAAGTTCGGCTCTGGTTTTGATGAACTGCCAGCCACACCAAGGATGGGGAGGGGTCTGGGAAGGAATGATCAGAGAGCTGTCTCCACGTTCCAGCAAGCTTGCCTCCCCATCCTTCACTCCCCCTACCTGGCCCAGGGAATATCGAAATGCTTCCTGTTCACTGATTTGCGTATCCTGTTAGTAATAAAAGTAGGGAAGCTTTTCAAACTGTGGGGTCACAGGCTGAACAGACCTGACCCCAGGTGAGTGTCTAGGCTTGCTTGGCACAGGGGCCACTTGTGCAGCAGACTGCCACAGTCCCAGGAAAGGCCCGGCAGGTGGGCTGCTTCCCAAAGCCCCCTGCCTCACTACTGCTTTTGTCTCCTAGGTCGGGAACTATAAGCGGACCGTGAAGCGGATTGACGATGGCCACCGCCTGTGCAGTGACCTCATGAACTGCCTGCACGAGCGGGCACGCATTGAGAAGGCATATGCGCAGCAGCTCACTGAGTGGGCCCGGCGCTGGAGGCAGCTTGTGGAGAAAGGTAGGAAGTCCCTGGCACAGGGCACCTCGGGCCCAGAGGCAGCTGCTCAGTAGCTAGGGGCTCTGGGCAAAGTGCTTACCTTCCCTGAACCCGTTCCTTCCCAGGTCAGTAGGAATGTTTCCTGCAGTTCTGTGAAGGGCCATGGTGCATACTGGGGAGCATCACTGGCAGGCTCTGGCTCCAAGACCTACGGTCTCCTGTCCGTGGAGACACAAGACTACTCTTTGCAAACAGCACCCAAGTCTCCTGTTCTTGCCCTTGTCCACAGGACCCACTTAACCGCTTGCCAGTTTTAACTAAGAACTTGAGTGAAAGGCCTTGTTACTCAGATCTTCGTTTCTTTTTTTGTTGTTTTTGCTTTGAGGCAGTCTTACTCTGTTGCCCTGGGTAGGGTGCCTTGGGGTCACCATAGCTCACAGCAACCTCAAATTCCTAGGCTCAAGTGATCCACTTGCCTCAGCCTCCCAAGTAGCTGGCACTACAGGCATTAGTTAGGTTAATGGTTAGGACTACAACCATTATACCTGGCTAATTTTTTCAATTTTTAGTAGGACAGCGTCTCACTCTTGCTCAGGCTGATCTCAAACTACTGAGCTCAAGAGATCCACCTGCCTTGGCCTCCCAGAGTGCTAAGATTACAGGCATGAGCCACTGTGCCTGGCCAGCAAAGTGATTTAGAATGGTTAAAAGGAAAAGAACAAGCGAAGATATAAAAGTAAATACACAGAAAAGCAAAGCTGAGCCATAATCTTAATACCAGACAATGAAAATTTATGAGTAACATGCCTGGTTTGATTTCAAATTTTAAAGGAAATAACTACAGATGTTGTGTGGTAGAGATTTTGGCTCCTTTCCTCCCTACCAAAAAGCTCAGCAGACTCTGCAACTTTACTACAGAACTCTGTTGTGTGGAGAGGGCCTATAGTTAGAACATGCTTCCCAGCAAGCAGGATGGGGGAAACTTGACTGATCACAGTGTCTCTTGGGACAGAGCAGAAGAGCAAGAGTTTCTCAGGGTGTGTTTTGAGGTCCCTCTTCTACCATGACTGCCGTCCTCAGATAAGCCAAGCCACCAGAGGGGTCAGCCGTGTCCAGCCCAGCTGCCTGTTCTTCTCTCACTGCTGACACAGTGGTGTCATGGGGCCGTAGCACTGTGCTTGGCACAGGGCTGGAGCCCAGGTTGTGGAGCCAGGGATAGGCCAGCTCCCTCAGCCTACGGTGGCTGCTACTATTTCATTGCCACTGCCTGAGCCCCATCTTTCAGGACCCAGCCGTCAGTGCCAGCTCACCTCTATTCAGAGCAGAGGTTTACAAGCCACCCTCACTAGTGGACCTGGGCCATGGTGAGGCAGGACAAGGGAGTGGGCTCAGGGGTCCAGAGGGGCTAAACTTCGTGATCACTTTCTGTTGTCCACAAGCCCCAGAAGTACATGTTCCCCTCCAGGTTCCCACTATCCCACCTCACACCCCTGTATCCTTAGTGCACACAGGCCCTGCTTCCTGTGAGCCCCTGAGGATGGCCAGTCTTCTTATTTTTCACTCTCAGCCCTGACATAGCTCCCTCTCCCTCCTGAGTCTCATGGCACCCCACCCTATCCCCTTAACAGAAGTGATAGCCAGATTAAGCCTTTCCTTCCGGAGCCTTGTGGACTGAGAACAGGGGTCAGGGGTGTGGCGATTCAACCTCCACCAGCCCCTACAGGGTGTTTCCATCTGGCCTGGAGCAGGTTCCTGTCTCCTTCTCCCTGGTCAGGGCTTCCCTTCCGCTGAGGAGACTGTCCCCCCTTCCACAAGCATTTTTGAGCTTGCCTGATGACAAAAGTGGTCCCACAGAGGGAAAAAAGCCCTAGGGCCAGTGAATGGGGAGCCTGTGCAGGAGCCTGGGGGTGCCGAGTCCTGGGAGAGGGGTCAGCTCACTTTAGAGGGTCCCCACTTCTTTGGCCCCTTTAAGCAAAGTGAGATTTCTTTCTTTCTTTTTTTTTTTTTTTAAGAGACAGAGTCTTATTTTGTCGCCCTTGGCTGAGTGCCATTGCGTCACAGCTCACAGCAACCTCCAACTCTTGGGCTTAGGTGATTCTCTTGCCTCAGCCTCCCAAGTAGCTGGGAGCACAGGCACCCACCACAAGACCTGACTATTTTTTATTGCAATTTGGCCGGGGCCAGGTTTGAACCCGCCACCCTTGGTATGTGGGGCCGGTGCTCTACTCACTAAGTCACAGGCGCTGCCCCAAAGTGAGATTTGTAAGATGCAGAAATTTGAGGGGGTTTTTTTTGAGACAGAGCCTCAAGCTATCGTCCTGGGTAGAGTGCCGTAGCATCACAGCAATCTCCAACTCCTGGATTTAAGCAATTCTCTTGCCTCAGCCTCCTGAGTACCTGGGACTACAGGCATCTGCTACAGTGCCTGGTTATTTGTTGGTTGTAGTTGTCATTGTTTGGCAGGCCCGGACCAGATTTGAACCTGCCAGCTCTGATGTATGCTGGCGCCTTAGCCACTTGAGCTACAGGCACCACCCAAGAAATTTGAGTTTTTAAAGAACTTAGTGGTTTAAAAAAAAAAAAAAGGACATGCATGCAATCACCTAATTTTCGTAACAAAAGAGTAGCAGGACAAATCCAGCCTCAGGAATGGAAAAGGCATAGGGCCACTGAGAGAAGTATCAGAAACAACCCGGCCAGACCCAGAGGCCTGCGTTAACAGGTGAGGGCTAAGCAGAGGACGTGCCCACTGCTGGCTGGGGGAGTAACTGTGGGCTTCTCTCCCATGCCCAGGGCCACAGTATGGAACAGTGGAGAAGGCCTGGGTGGCCATGATGTCTGAGGCAGAGAAGGTGAGTGAGCTGCACCTCGAGGTGAAGGCCTCACTGATGAATGAGGACTTTGAAAAGATCAAGAATTGGCAGAAGGAAGCCTTTCACAAACAGATGATGGGGGGCTTTAAGGAGACCAAGGAGGCTGAGGACGGCTTTCGCAAGGCACAGAAGCCCTGGGCCAAGAAGCTGAAAGAGGTAAGTATATCCCACAGGCTGCTTCCCTGCCAGGCCTCTCTGAGCTGGACTCCACCAGCAGGAGGCCACAGCCCATGGAGGAGAAACCCCTGGTGGCCGACATTTACCCAGGTTTAAGACAGTGTTCTGCAGACATTCTTTAAATTTAATCCTTGCCATCCCATTTTACAGACTTGGCAATTGAGCATCAGAACCAGACATTGGTGGTAGCTCTTAACTAATAACAATACCTTCCCCACCCCTGGGGAAGTGTCTAATGGAGAGACTTAAAGGTCCCTTTGGACTAGGAGAAAGGATTAATTAAAAATTTTTCTCTCTCACATGTGTTTCCCCCCAGATTTGCAAATGATTCTGATATTCCTTTTTCTGAAAGTAGGAACCAAAGCCAGTGAGTCTTGGGGCCTTAGGTCTGCCCTGCCCTCAGCAGGTGTACCTGCCCTGCCTGCAGCTCCCAGCCAGTCCCTCTCTGAGATGGGCAGACAGGAGATGTGCCCCCCTGCAGCTGGCTTCTCTCAGGAGCTGCACTGCCTTCCTCTCCTCAGAGCATCGAGAGCCCTCCTCTGTCTTTGGGCTGTAGCAAGCATTCTTTTTTGTCTTGGCTTTTCTTTTCTTTTCTTTTCTTTTTTTTTTTTTTTTTTTGAGACCGAGCCTCAAGCTGTCCCCCTGGGTAGAGTGCCGTGGCATTACAGCTCACAGCAACCTCCAACTCCTGGGCTCAAGAGAGTCTTCTGCCTCCACCTCCCAAGTAGCTGGGACCACAGGCGCCCACCACAACGCCCGGCTATTTTTTTTTTTTTGGTTGCAGCTGTCATTGTTGTTTGGCGGATTCGAACCCACCACCTTAGGTGTACGCGGCTGGCGCCTTAGCTGGTTGAGCTATAGGCGCCGAGCCGTCTTGGCTTTTCTTACATCTCTTCTCTCTGCCTTCTCATCCTGGCCCTACTTGTAATGAAACTAACTCCCCCTCACCCTGCATCCCCACAAAGCCATTGCTACAAACTCCTCTTTTCTTCTAGAATAGAATCTGTGGCTTTGGCTTAAATAAAGAAGGGTGTTATTTAAATCACTACGCATCTGTGTGAGTGTAAAGTAGCCATTCAAAGTGGGGGGCATGTGGCTGTCATCTTGACGTCTCAGCTGAGTGCCTTCACTGCTACGAGATTTCTTCTTTGGAACTTGTTTGCATTTGCTGTTGTAGTTGTGGTCGTGCTCTCCCCCAGATAGCCACCCCTTCTCATTTGCCCCGCATGTCACCTCAATTGGCATCTCCAGCCATTCTACATAAAATCCTGTCCCCCACCCCTGGTGCTCCTTGCTTTATAGTCAGCACTTAGCACCTTCTGACTGACTTCAGCATTTGATTTGTCCTGTACTATATTTGCCTCCCCCAACTCCTGAATGGAAACTTCAGGAAGGCCCGGGTTCTTTTGTCCTGTGCTGCATGTCTGGTGCCCAGAACCACACATGGGACGAAGCAGGCACTCAGTAAATATTTATGGACTGCACTCCTGTGTCATGGCTAGTTGACACTCTAGTGACTGTACCACTTTGTACCTGTTTGCCTCTTCTCTCCGTAACACAAGCATTCCAAGGGTCATGTAACCTCTGTGAGGACTCTGGACTTACAGCGGTGCAGAACTCAGGAACTCACTCTCCCTGCAGATGGAGGCAGCAAAGAAAGCCTACCACGCAGCGTGCAAAGAGGAGAAGCTGGCCATCTCCCGGGAGGCCAACAGCAAAGCGGACCCCTCCCTTAACCCAGAGCAGCTCAAGAAATTACAAGACAAAGTAGAGAAATGCAAGCAAGACGTTCTCAAGGTAAACCATACACGATTCTTACATGTTGAGTGTCAGCATGTTACTTGTTTATGTGTCTGGCACATGGCAAGCCTTTTGTAACTGCTCAGTTGGGTGGGTGGACAGAGGGACAAATTTCAATGAAACACCTCCCTACCCTCAAGAAGGTCACATAGGTGAGCACCTTAGCACCTTACCTTACTATAACCATTGCACCTGCCTCGATGAGGGGCAGAGTGGGTGATGGGCAGGTGGGGGGAATGTTGCTTGTGCTCAAGGACACAGGATGGCTGGGATTGCTGGGGGCAGGAGAGGGGGGAGCAGAACTTGTGCTGGATATGGAGGAGTGAAGGAGCGTAGTCAACGTGAGGACTGATGTATGGGCTGGTGTGGAGGGTTATGAGGACAACCAAGTTTCTAGTCTAGGCTTCTGTATGCTTTCTTAGATGCTGCTGACAGGGGACCACTGAGGAGGGCCTGGGGCTCAGGGAGGAAAGGGCAGACTGATGTAGAAGGATCACTCTGCTTGTGTGGGGAGGGATGGCTGGGGGCAGAGACCTGGTGGAGGGGATGGGGGCATTGGGAGAGCTTGTCTGGGAAAAGGCTGGAAACTGCCCTGTGGCCTCATCAACGATAGGCCCCAAAGAGCACAGGGCCAGGCTGGGGCCCCAGAGAGTGGCCTCTCAAAGTTGGGGAGGATTTAAGAAGGGACTCTACAGAGCATGAAGAGGAGTTTCCTAGGGATGAGCAGGGTGGGCAGAGAAAGTGCTCTAGAGGCCCGCAGTGGCTCTGTACCAGTTGTCAGGGACAGCATAATGCAGTGTGCTGGTGGAACCCATGACCACCCCCCTCATTCCTTAGAGTGGGCTCCCCCTGCCATCCCTTACTTCACCCCAGGAGGCCACCAACTAACAGAAAATCACACTGAAGTGGTGAGGGGGAGGGATGTCTGTGGATGTGAGGTCACTGACCTCGAGGCCCACCCCTGCCAGATGCCTGTGCTCACTTGGTCAGGCGTTAGGGTTTCACGCATGTTCATGCTTCTCTAGATACCGTAGAGATGAGGCATTTATTTCCTTTCTTGTAAAACTGTTTTGGGGACAGTCTGGGAAGAAACAGCTGTGCAGGGGGAGGGGAAGTAGGCTGGAGGACAAAGGAGCAGGACTTTCTGGAATAATCCTGGCACCTAAGTATCAGAGCACTAGGAAGGAGAAATAAGGACAGCGAGGCTCCCAGAGAACGGGAGTGAGTGCCAGCCCCGAACTTGGTGAGGTGACTCCCCAAGTCATTGCTGTGGGCCAGGTCCAGGGCTCCAGGGTGACCCAGCACAGCCTCTCCCCACAGGGAGAGAGAGAGGACAAGAGTGTGTAGTAGGCTCGGTTCCGGGCACACTGATCTTCGGGGTAACGGCCCCTTCACCTGCATCGACCTGTTTGGGCCTTGATTCCATGGAGAGGCAGGACAGATGCCAACAGATTGGTTTGCCTTGCAGAAGTGGAGGGACTGGGGCTTAAGCTTGAAGTCTCTCAGACTCCAGGGCTCCAGCTCCTGCTCCTTGGGTTTGGAGTCTAGAGAGCCCTGAGAAGCCCTGGGGAAGGGGTAGGTGAGCTGAGGGCCGAGTGGAGATGAACTTCGTTTTGTGCCTGGGTTTTCACTTAGACCAAAGAGAAGTACGAGAAGTCCCTGAAGGAGCTGGACCAGGGCACGCCCCAGTACATGGAGAACATGGAGCAGGTGTTCGAACAGTGCCAGCAGTTTGAGGAGAAGCGCCTGCGCTTCTTCCGGGAGGTTCTGCTGGAGGTTCAGAAGCACCTAGACCTGTCCAATGTGTCCAGGTAAGTTTCCTCTGAGCTGAAAAATGCATCTCAATGAAGTTGGTGCAGAGCTGCTGTGCTCAGGCTAGGATGGCAGTGTGGATCAGAAAGTCCTCTCATAGCTGTTTGGTTCTCTTGCTTTTCTGTGGTCTTGGTGCCCAAGGAGGGCTCTTTTGCTGGGCCCGTCTGCAGCTACGGGCATTGTCAGCCTGTGCAGTGTCCTGCTGCCGGGCAGTGGGGTGGCCTGGCCAGACCAGCTGACCTCTGCTGGCTCCATTCATGGGTCTGGGCAGCAAAGAGGATGCCCATCTGGGGCTGCAGCGGGGTCCCGTGCTTCTAGGCTGGGTGTGCCCTGCCCCAGGATGGTCAGGGGCCCTCCCCATCCAGAGCAGTGTATTGTCAGCTCAGCCCTGACCTCTTGGTGGCTCCAGGCCCCAGGCAGCACAGACCCTCCCAGACTCAGTTCTCAGTCATGATACTTCTGTGCTTTCCTCGTCTTTGATCCCATGACACCTGGGCACAGGTGCAATCTACCCAAGGAGGGCGTAGACATCTGTTATCCCTCCAGCAGAGCCATGTGAAAGTGACTCTGGTCAAGGCTTATCATAAATAGGAAATGACATCTCTTTGTTGCCTTCTGTATAAGAATAATCAACAGTACAGCTACTCTGCCATCATTTGATTAATTTTTATGACAGTCTTGTAAAGTAGGTGGCACTGTCCCCATCTTATTGATGAGGAAACAGGCTGGGTGAGGTTAAATGACTTGCCCCCGGCCACACAGCTGGCAAGGGACAGGGTTGGTTGGTCTGCATCTGGCTCTTCTGTGTGTAACTTCCATTGACACATGGCCATCTTCCCTTGGTGTGTGTGTGTCTCCGGGCCCATGTTTCCTCTTTTTATAAGGACACCAGTCATACTGGATTAGGGCCCACCATAATGACCTCATTTTAACTTGATTACCCCTTAAGGACCCTATTTTCCAATAAAGCACTGGAGTTAGGACTCCAGCCCATTTTTTGTGGACAACACAACATAGCCCCTCACAGAGGGCACTGTGCCCGCTCAGCAGAGGAGGAGACTGAGGCCCAGGGGAGGTGGTGCTTGCCGGCCATGCAGATGCAAGTGAAGGTGTCAGCTCCAGCAGTCATGTGTCCCCTGCCCGTCCTGGTGGCAAGCGTCCTGCATTTGCACATCCACATGATAAACCCTCTGACTCTGACAGAGATGAGGGATAGGGGTGCTTCCTGACATACTTTGCTAGCCTTACCTCCAGGCCTGATTATGTGGGACCACACAGAGTGGTGCCATGGGGCCCACACCCAGGCCTTTTGCACTGTCTGATGCAGAGTATAGCCCCCTTTTTTTTTTACATGGTTTGATTTAAAGCTCATTTGTCAGAAGTCCACGCTGTGGTGGTTGTCTGTCCCCATCTGTGTGTGTGACAGCAGGTGATCTGCCTGAGCCAAGGGAAAAGTGTCCCTGATCTGTGTCTGTGACATTGATGCTGGTGTGGGCTGCATCACCCACAGGGCCTGCTGTGCCTGGCCCCTGCCTTCCTGAGAGCCACCTTTCTCTCCCTGGTTTAGCTACAAAACCATCTACCGGGACCTGGAGCAGAATATCAAGGCAGCTGACGCAGTGGAGGACCTGAGGTGGTTCAGAGCCAATCACGGGCCAGGCATGGCCATGAACTGGCCACAGTTTGAGGTAAGAGGAGGCCACACCCATGACCCCATCAGTCTGGGAGGGGACCTGGGTCCACAGAATTCAGTTACATGACGTCCTGCTCGTTCTAGACTCTGTGCTGGAGGTTGCCCTGGTCATTGGGCAGCCTTTGTGCACAGTGGCAGTGCAGACCAAGCTGATGCTCAGGGCTCGGGGGCAGCAGGCGTAGGAGGCCTCTGAGTCTCTGGTGGCACAGTTATATTCTTTCCAGTTAGGAACATCCGACAGTGGGCATTCCCTCCTCTCCCAGTGACTCTCAGGCATTGCAGGACACGTGGGACCTCAGGTGCCCACCCTATCTTGTGGGATGGTCAGGAAGGGAGCAGCCACAGTGTCTCCAGGCCTCCCAGTGCCCTGGCAAGGGGAGGCAGTCCCAGTGGGCAGCCCTCCTTGCCCTTTAAGCAAAGGACTTTTTAAAATCATCCTCAGTAGAGTGCTGTGGCATCACAGCTCACAGTAATTTCAGACTCTTGGGCTCAAGTGATTCTCTTATCTCAGCCTCCCGAGTAGCTGGGACTACAGGCACCTGCCACAACGCCCCGGCTAATTTTTAGAGATGGGGTTTCACACTTGCTCAGGCTGGTCTTGAACCTGTGAGCTCAGGTGATCTACCTGCCTCAGCCTCCCAAGTGTTAGGATTACAGGCATGAGCCACCACACCCTGCCCTAAACAAGGGACTTTTCCATACTTCGGCCATTAAAATTTGTGAGGCTGAGCCTTGGTTTTATTATTTATTTATTTATTTATTTATTTTTTGAGACAGAGTCTCAGGCTGTTGCCTAGGTAGAGTGCTATAGCATTACAGCTCACAGCAACCTCAAACTCTTGGGCTTAAGCGATTTTCTTGCCTCACCCTCCCAAGTAGCTGAGACTATAGGTGCCCACCATAACGCCCAGCCATTTTTTGGTTGCAGTTGTCATTGTTGCTCACCAGACCCGGCCTGGGTTCGAGCCCACCACCCTAGGTGTATGTGATCAGCACCCTGCCGACTGAGCTATGAGTGCCATCAAGTCTGAGCCTTCGAATATATTTATAAAATTCAAATGTGGGGATCTCAAGACTCATCTAACTCTGGTATTGGGTCCCCCAGAGCCACCTGGCTCACTGATGGTAGCACAGAAGGCAGAGGCTGCAAGTCTTACCATGCCCAGTTCCCTGTGACAGAGGCTGAAGTCTGCTGCCCCAGGGAGTGGTACAAGCCATTTGCCCTTTTTTTGTGACTGAGCTTCTCCATGGTAGAAAGGTTAATGGCCCAGGGCCTGGCCCGCTGAGCAGTGCCCCTTGTTAGGCCCTTGCCCTGGCCCTGGCCCACCACACAGGAGACTCTTTGCCTCCTTAGCCTGCATTTTTGTCATTCTCTACACTTGGGCTTCTGTTTTCTGGACCTTGCCAGGCAGATTGCTCCACATGACATATGGCCCCTGTAGCGGGCACTGTCTATACTACCCTCAGGACCTGCCCCCACTGGAAGCTACAGAGCAGGCCTCACCCTGCCACAGAGGCACAGGGAGAAAGAGGGCCAGGCCCTTCCTGAGTGGCAGGGCCTAGAGAGGGACAGCGCAGAACACTGTGCATCAGCACAGAAGCACGGGACATCACCTGTGAATTTGCCTGGGTCCCTTAGAGGCACCCACTGGTACCCAGAGAGGAGGGCAGTGGGGAGGCGTATGTGACACACTGTTTTCGCTGAGGTGGGTGTCCTGGCCAGAGCCCACTGGGCCTTCTCTCTGTGGGTCCCCAGGCTGGGAACCAGCATGTTTGCAGCAGTTGAGGATATGCCTGACCTTCTCTAATGAAATGACTTGTTTTTATTTTCCATGCCACAAGGATGAAGTAAGTTTCCATCTCTGGCTACCCCACTGTGTCAGTCCCCAGTGTATCTCTAGCCCCTGGGTCTGTGTGTGTGTCGATCCCAGCCTGGCTCTGGCAGTTCAGCTGATGCTGCTTCATTGTCAGAATTGTTAAAAGCGGGTCCTTCCTCTCAGGGTCTGCTTGGCCCTTGGGAGCCACCTATTCAGGGTAGATTTATATTCAGAAGTCACCATGGGAACTCTAAGGTTCTGCTTGAGTTCTCAGCCAACTTATTTCCATCAGGAAAATAATTATTAGACAAAAGGTGACCTAGATTTGGAGTCAGGTGCTCAGGTCTGCCACCTATTCTCCATGGGCAGGTCACTCTTCCCTTCTCAACCTCAGTTTCCCCATCTGACAAAATGACAGATGTTTCTAAGATGACTTGTAACCTAGAAGTTCCATAACTGCATATGAGCAAAGCTGTGGACTTAGCCACACAAGTTTTAGTTAAAGTTGTTTGATGATGGGTGGAGATGGGAGGGAAGGAGAATTCTCTAAACATCTGTGTGTGCACACATAGACACACACTTTTCTGGAAAATCAAGAGGTAGCCTCCCTTGCTCTTCTTCCCCACTCCCTCTGTTTCCAGCACAGTTGATACAAACCTGCTCACTGCTAGGAAAGTAGTAAAGCTTCAGGAGATAAATACTTTGCTTGGTTTTGTCAGCCCCCAGCAGGCTGCTCAGATTCAGAGAAGTTCCAGGGTGGATTTATCAGGGAGGACTCTGCTCCCTGGAGACTTGAGCAGACCGGGAGGCCCCAGTCTGGCATGGAATACAGAATGCTGTGCATTGGTCCTGGTCTGCTGTCATCCACTCCATGTCCTGGACACTCTGTCCTCCCAGGAGAGAGCTGCACAGGCAAGGGCTGGGCAGTTGTAACAGTCCGACAGCCAGGGCCTCTGAGGAGTCCCACTTGAACAGTGAGTGAGGAGGGTGTTCAGATCACATGTGTCCATAGGTGAATGTGGGAGCCTGAGGCCTGCTGGAGACAAGGGTGAATGCTGAGTGGGTGCTGTGGATGGATGTGGCTTTATCTCCTTTAACACCTGTTGCCTAGGAGTGGTCCGCAGACCTGAATCGAACTCTCAGCCGGAGAGAGAAGAAGAAGGCTGCTGATGGTGTCACCCTGACAGGCATCAACCAGACAGGTGACCAGTCCCTGCAGAACAAGTCTAGCAGGTGAGTGAGCACAACCTCACTCCAAAAGAGGCCATCCCAGTGGAGGGGTCCCCAGCGCTATCTGTGTGGTCCTGGGCACCAGCTTCTCAGGGGACAGGGGGTCATCTTCCCTGCTGTTGTGAGAGCTGCTAAAAGATCCAAAGTGGGAGCCTTTGCCAGGAGTGCACGTCAGGTCTGAGGACCTGATGTCAGCTTCAGTGACACTGCCCTGCGTGGATGTGGCTGTGGGAGATTGCTGCTCTTCCATTTGGGCAGTCCAGGCGCTGCCAAGCTTGTGCTTATTTTCCATGTGTGTGCTGGCGCCAGTCGAGGAAGGAAGTGGCAAGGCTGCCAGGTGCCCCCTTTTGAAGTCACCTCTTCGCTGACAATGTTGGTGATTTCTAACTTAGTTGCTGGCTGATAATGAGTTGTAGATATAAGGATGGTCCCATGGCCATTAGAGCCTTCTGAAAAGTGTGTGCTAGAGGAGGGCCCCATGTAGGGGCTGCCTAGAGGCCTTCATGCCACATTCAGTAATAGTCACCTAGAGTCTAGGGCTGCCTAAGAAGGCTCAGCCCAGGTTCCTGGGGCCCCGGGCTCTCCAGCAGATGATCTACTATGCCCATTAAGCAGTAAGCGTCTCTCCTGGGGACCAGCTGATATCTGTGTGCCTGGAGGTGAGGTGGAGAGGGTGAGACCCCACCTCAGAGGCTAGGGCTACTATACCAGAGCAGGCTGGGGGCCAGGGAGGAAGAGGCCTTGTGGTTTCAGACACGTAGACTGATTGTCAGCCGCCATCAGGCTTGGGTCCAGTGTCCTTCACCAGGCTGGAGCCAGAGAGGTAGTTGCTGGCCACTCAGTGTCACTCTGTGGCATTTGAGGAATATCCTCCCTTCCTCAGCCCTGGGGTGGGAGAGGCTGACTGAGCTGTCTATTCAGTGTGAGGTGCTGTTCCCCCAAGCTGTGGATGTGGAGGTGAGAGGTTAGTGCTGTCTGGAGAGTCCAGGTCCATCAGGCCAGGCACTGAGTGGGTAGCAGGCCGCCCCGTTATGGCCTCCTGTAGAACACTGTGGGCCCTTCAGCCCAGTTCCCAGGTGCTGGCCTTCAGCAGGACTGGGCTAGGCTCAGGTCTCTGCCTTCCTTCTGGGCCTCGCACAGGAGGTGCCTGATACAGGTATGCAAATGGGCTCTCTCTGGAGCACAAAAGGAGTTTCCTTTCTATCTAGAAAGGGCGGCACAGCAGTCATTAGTCCTGGTTTTGGAAGCTCCAGCCTTAGGAGCACAGGGGAACTGGACACTGGACCCCATGGTAGTCAGGAGGAGGGCTGAGGGCTGCAGAAGGCTAAGGAGCACCTGCTATATCATTGGGCCTGGGGACTTGCCAGCCCACAGCAGGGAATGCGGACTGGGGGAGCCCTGAACTGGAAGCCATTTTGCTCCCACTGTGGCCTGTTGCTCCCACCCCAGGGCCCTGTTCTAGGCTGGCTGGAGGAGAAACAGGCTCTTATCCTCAGGTGCTTTAAGCAGTTCACGGTACCGCCGCATGCTCTACCCTAGTCCTTTCTGCTGAGAGTACACGGTCTTCCATTCGGATAAGGAGCTGACCTGTCCCTGCTGTGCTGGGGTCCCCTGAAAGCTCTCTCTCTCCCTGTAGCAACCTTAGTGTCCCGAGCAACCCCGCGCAGTCACAGTCCAGCTACAACCCCTTCGAGGATGAGGACGACACGGGCAGCACCGTCAGTGAGAAGGAGGACATTAAGACCAAAAAGTTGGTGAACAAATGCTTCCCTCTAGTTCCCACCTCGCTGTCTCTCTCCCTCTCTCTCTGTCCAGGGCTCTGGCCCAATATCTTGCCCCTCAGCACCCAGCAGCGCATGAAGCCCTGCAGGAGGCGGGCACCTGGCACAGTGCACGGGACTGGCACCGCTAACAATCTGGTTGCTTTTTCTCTGTCCTCTGTTAACCCTTCAAGGCCCGGGCACCACCTTGGCACACCAGAAGACGACAGATGGGCAGTCTGTGCTGGGGACCTGCAGGAGCAGGGACCTCCGGGCTGCCTCTGGGGCACTGGTGTGGGTCACCACCAGCCGCCTGCTCTTACCTATTGGTGGCTCAGGTTGAGTGTGAATGGCATGAATTCTCACCAGGGCCTGGCTCCATCCATGCTGTCACGCAGAGGGAGCTGTACGCCTTCAGAAAGAGTCCTGAGCCCTGTGCCTCACAGCGCCTGCACCCTCCCCTCACAGGGGCAGAGGCTCTGGGTGGGGGCCTCACGCCCTCTGCCAGCCCTGGCTGAGGCCCCTGTGTCAACCCCTTTCTTACAGTGTGAGCAGCTACGAGAAGACCCAGAACTACCCCACCGACTGGTCAGATGACGAGTCCAACAACCCGTTCTCCTCCACGGATGCCAATGGGGATTCAAACCCATTCGATGAGGATACCACTTCAGGGACGGAAGTGCGAGTCCGGGCCCTTTATGACTACGAGGGTCAGGAGCATGATGAGCTAAGCTTCAAGGCCGGTAGGTGGGCTCCTATCCAGGGTCTGGATGATGACTGTCCAATCTGTAGGGAGGTAGGTCTGCATTTTTCTCTTAAGTCTGACCAAGCACCTCCTGGTTTGCCCATTACTATGAGTCCTTGCCACCAGCCCTCCCACTCTCCAGTTTCTTTCTTTTTTTTTTTTGAGACAGAGCCTCAATCTGTCGCCCTGCCTCCACCTCCCAAGTAGCTGGGATTACAGGCACCTGCCACAATGCCTGGCTATTTTTTGGTTGCAACCATCATTGTTGTTTGGCAGGCCCAGGGTGGATTCGAACCCACCAGCTCAGGTGTATGTGGCTGGCACCTTAGCCGTTTGAGCCATAGGCACTGAGCCCCACCCTCCAATTTCAAAAGTAGCATGTGCTTGGAAGGGCATGGTAGCTCGAGCCTGTAATCCTAGCCCTCTGGGAGGCCGAGGCAGGTGGATTGCATGAGCTCAGGAGTTCAAGACCAGCCTGATCAGGACCCTCTAGAAAAACTGAGACAAGAGGATCACTCAAGCCCAGGAGTTTGAAATTGCTGTGAGCTGTGATGTCTCAAAACAAAAAACAGACAAACAAAAAGTAGCAGGTACTTGATGCCAGAACTCGGGGAACAGTGAGGCACCTTGTGCCTTTGCCACTGAGGGTGGGAACAGGACACAGTCTGGTCACACAGAACAAACTGTGGGCCAGGACCACTAGCCTGCCCCAGAGGAGCTGCCAGAGAATCCCTCTCAGTGCTCCATGTGCCCCTGGGCCGGGCACCTGTCAAAGGTTCTCCCTACAACCAGAGTGTGTGCATACCTCCCCATGCACGCCCCTGTGTGGCCAGCAGCAGAATCCCTATGTTAGAAAACAGTCTGGATCCTGATTATGTGTGTTCTACCTGTGGAGATTATCTGTCTGGTACCTTTTTAAAAAAAAAAGTGCTGGTTGTGGGCGGTGCCTGTGGCTCAAAGGAGTAGGGCGCCGGCCCCATATACTGGAGTTGGTGGGCTCAAACCTGGCCCTGGCCAAAAACTGGGGGGGAAAAAAATGCTTGTTGCAGTTTACCAAAATGGGCTGCAACCTTCAGTTTGTAAAGCACTATCTTAGAGCCTGTGCAAGGAGTGGCCTAGGGCCAGAGCAACCTGTTTCTCCCTCTACCTTGCCCCCTCCTCGAGGCCACCCTGAACCAGCATCCATCCCTCTGAGAAGAGGGAGGCTGGGCCAGAACTCAGCCACACAGACTGAGTATGTCCTAGCCCTTGGCTATGTCTTGGGGAAGACCCTCAGCCCTGACTTGGGTGGGGGCTGCCCCATACCCAGCCTTTGGCTCCTCCCTGTGGTGCTGCCCAGCTGTCCATAGGTACTTGTCTCCAGGGCTGGTCATCAGGTTCCTCTGGCCAGTTTTAGAAATTCTGTTACATGCCTTTAAATTATCTTTGTCTAGTTTTCTGCTATCTTTTCTTGGGGTTATTACCCTGATTTTGTTGGTTTTTAATTTCTAATTCTTTTTTAATCTTATTCAATCTGTTAGGATTGACAGTAACTGTAACGTTATAGTTTTTTTTTTTTTTTTTTTTGCAGTTTTTGGCCGGGGCTGGGTTTGAACCCACTACCTCCAGTATATGGGGCCGGCACCCTACTCTTTTGAGCCACAGGCGCCACCCTAGGGTTTTTTTTGTTTGTTTGTTTTTGAGACAAAGTCTCACTGTGTCGCCCTTGGTAGAATGCTATGGTGTCACAGCTCACAGCAATCTCAGACTCTTAGGCTTAAGCGATTAATTCTCTTGCCACAGCCTTCCAAGTAGCTGGGTCTATAGGCACCTGCCACAATGCCCAGCTACTTTTTTGTTGCAGTTATTGTTGTTTAGCAGGCCCAGGCTGGGTTTGAACCTGCCAGCTTCTGTGTATGTGGCTAATGCCCTAAACATTGAGCTATGGGCTCTAGTAATTTTACAGGTTTAAAGTGTTTCCTCCAGCTGTAAGCAAATTGTCAAAAGTAACCTGATTAAAGAATGTTTCTAATTACTAGCTCACGTTTGCACAGCTTAAAAAGTTCTTATTTATTTTGTCCATTTTCTATGTTATTTTGCTTCTTTATGACAGAAAATTAGCTCCCAGCCAGTGCTGCCTGTCTTCCATCTTTCACGGTGCCTTGGCTGCTTGCTGGGTCTTAGGTGCTGGTGGGGCCCTCCTTGGGGCTGCCCAGCACATGACAGCTCCATACTGAGGGCCTATTTCTAGATCCTGGAGCAGGGTCTGTGGGCACAGCAACCCAAAAGGACAAGGTCAGAGAAATGCCCGGCACCCTCCTGGTGAAAGTATGGGAGATGGTGGTGGTTCCTCCTGGCCACTGCCCTGTATCCCCTGGGTCTGCTCCTGATTCTTCTAAATCAGATTTGCAGGAGAATGGATCTGGCAGCAGTGGGAGTATGAATTGGTATTTACCACGTGCCTGTCCCATCCCAGTGTCATTCAGGTCTTAATATATAACCCTCACAGCACCTGCAGTCTACAGATGGGAGCAGCTGACTCAGGGCTCCCTGCAACCAGTGGCAGCTCTGGGATGTGCGCCTGAGCCATACTGGGTGTTGGCCCTGCTGGTATCATGATCACTATTGCTGCCATTTCAGAGAAGCATTGCTAAACTTGTCCTAGCCACCTGCCTGAGGAGAAATTATATCTGGGTATGAAAAATGGACCGCTGGAGCTATACACTCACCAGCAAAGGCCAAAGAACATGTGAGACTAAGTCCCCACCAACGTGCTTGCCCCTGAGGTCTGAGCCAGCAGGTCCCCACAGGCTTCTCTGCAGTTAGTCACCAGTCAGAAGCATACAGGCTAATGGGTAAACAGCAGATCTGGGACCTTGCCCCAGTGTGACCTCTCCCATCACTGCCCTGGTCACACTTTGATCTTGTCCCCAGGTCTGTCTCCTTGAGAGACTAGGCTCCATCTCTTCCTCTCTTATCTGTGTGTCCTCTACCCAAGGCCAGGCCCAAGGTAGGGTTCCTTCAAGTTTGAGCAAACAGCTCTCAACCACACTCATACACATAGCCATAGGAGATTCCACCTCAGATTGTTGGGAAGGGTTGACAAATGTCATCTTGTCCAAGCCCTGGGCCACATGCAGGTACAGCTCTCAGACATGGTCCCTGCCCCTCACACAGCCTGCAATCTGACAGTGGGAAGGTTTAATATAGGCACAGAGACCATGGTATGGGGAGGATTTAAGAGAGAACAGCGTAGATAGCCAGCATGCAAAGGATGGGGCACAAGCCTGGGAAGAAGTCCTCCCACCTGGCGGGAGGAGGTCAGGAGGCACACACCTGCAGCGCTTGACTCTGCTGTCTCCTTGGGAGTCATTGTAGCAACTGAGAACTGTTTGCTCTGGGGTCACTGTGTGAAACTGTCCTTTCTAGATCTTTCAGAGGCCATGTAATCAAAGAGGCAGCTTAAAATGCAATTTATACCAGGCACAGCTGCTCATAACTGTAATCTCAATGACTTGGGAGGCTGAAGTGGTAGGTTCACTCAAGCACAGGAATTTAAGACTGGCCTGGACAACATATCCAAGAAAAAATTAATAATTAAGAAAAATTAGTTGGGCATTGGAGTGGCCACCTCCAGATACTGGGGAGGCTAAGGCAAGAGGATCACCAAAGCCCAAGAGTTTGAGGGTATAGTGACGTTTGACTGTGCCCCTGCACTCCAGCATGGGCAACAGAGCAAGACCTCATCTCTAAAACAAGAGGAGGATACAGTTTAGTATAAAACTACCCAGGCCTTGCCCTTCTACCCAAGGTGGGGACCCTCTGTGGCCCAGGAGCCCCTGAGGATAGCTCTCCAGGCCACAGCCTGTACCACCCACCCTCTTTTTTTTTTTTTTTGGGACAGAGCCTCAAGCTGTCCCCCTGGGTAGAGTGCCATGGCATTACAGCTCACAGCAACCTCCAAGTCCTGGGCTCAAGCGAGTCTCCTGCCTCCGCCTCCCAAGTAGCTGGGACCACAGGCGCCCGCCACAACGCCCGGCTATTTTTTGGTTGCAGCCGTCATTGTTGTTTAGCGGGTCCAGGCTGGGGATTCAAACCCGCCACCTTAGGTGTACGTGGCTGGCGCCTTAGCCAGTTGAGCTATAGGCGCCGAGCCACCACCCACCCTCTTACCAAGACCACTCCCTCTTTGTCTTGTAGGGGACGAGCTGACCAAGATGGAGGATGAAGATGAGCAAGGCTGGTGCAAGGGACGCTTGGACAATGGGCAGGTTGGCCTATACCCAGCAAATTATGTGGAGGAGATTCAGTGACAGGCCAGGGCCAGGCCGGCAGAGGGACGGAGGCGGTGGCCCAGGAGCTCCAGTGCCTCCCACCGGCCATGTGGGTGTCCACTCCTATTCCTGCAGAAGATGAAGGTCCGTTGCTCTTGGCTTCATGGTGTCCCTGGCAGTCAGACAGCTGGTCATTTCACCTGGGGCTCGGCACCTTTCCAAGTGCAGCTGCAGGGATCTGAGCGCAGGAAGATGCAAAGCAACAGAGAAGCAGCCGGCCCCCTGCCGCCGCCTGCTGCGTTTGTCGGCTTATCATGGATCTGTGTATTCTTGACCTTGTCTCTCCTCTCCTCCGAGTCAATGGTGGGTTATGCTGATTCTAGTTCACTGATCACTTTCTCTGGTGAGTCCCGTCACTTGCAACTTAAATGAACAAACTTAGATGCCATTTTCTGAGTAAAGATTTTGAGGTTTTTAATTTAAAGGCTGTGTACAGTTATACTTTTTTTATACCTGTTCTTCCATTCGTTTATACTTAAATTATGGCACAGACTAGCGTAGGAATTGGTCTTGAGGATTGGTATCTCTACTTCCGTGCTGTGCCATTAATCAGCCATGCCACTGTGTGGGTAAGCTGCAAGGGGTGAAGCTCATGACGATGTTGGAGGTGGGAAGTTGTAGAAAGATGGGCACATTATGGACTCCTACTGTGAGTGCCCTTTCTGTATGGGGGTGACTGAATGCAAGTTTCAGATATAGCCATAGCTAGTATAGCCCCCAAAAGTCGCCATATTTAAAATTTTTCACTTTAATTTTGCTTAAAACTTTACTCTTTTGCAAATTAACAGCTTTATCAGTGATTTGGAAGGTTAAAAAGTAATAAGACTAACTTTTCAAGCAAATGCATTTGTGTCTTGGTGTCTATCTGTACATATTACTTGATATCCAGAGAATCTAAAGATTCTGTCTACTGTTTTGATGAGATTTGACAGCGGGTTTCATTTGTGAATGGCATGACGTCTGTGGCGTTTGGGCACAGGCCTGACTGGCCAACTGGACCTTCTCCCAGGCTCAGATGTGTGTCTGGGCCCCTCTGACGTGGAAACTTCAGGAGAGAGACTTAATGTATCCTTACTGGCTGGCCTCAGGCCCTGCTTCTGCCTGGCCTTCATCCTTGGTCCCGCAGCAGAGCACTGCAAACACCGCATCTTTGCAGCAGCCGCAAACTTCACAGTCGTCTGTATTCCTTGTGGGCAAACAAAAGCTGGATCTCACCCACAGCACAGGCCTCTCTGAGTGTCCTTAGTCTCCAGAGAGCCAGGAGTGCTGTGGTCCAAGCTACACTGTGGTCACGTGGTGGGCAAGGCGGGTGGGACTTTATTTTGTGTGTCTCAGACCCTGGGCCTGTCCTGCCAGTCACAAGCTATGCATTTACCCTATTTCCAGCGAACTTAATGTCTTGCTGGGAGGTGGATATGTGTCTGTGTCTTTGTCTGTCATAAAACTTACCAGCAGAAGTCCTCATTCCTATGCTACAGATTTACCAAAAATTGTCAAGTCTTTTAAGTTTAGTTCCTTTAAATGTATAGTATTTTAGGGGAAAAAAAAATCAATAAATGGTTGATCTCCCACATGTGCACGTCCCTTTGCTGTGCGTCTGTCCTCACGCCTATACCCCGGGTTGCTGTGTCCTCCTTGGAGTTTATCAGCTTTGGAGCTGGGCAAGGTCCGGGGCACCAGACCCTGCCAAGGAGTCACAGTCCCACTGGCTCTGCCAAACTGGAGATTGGGGATTTGAGGCACCTGAGCCTCTCGGGCCTCACCTCCAGAGACCTGCTGTTGTAGACCCCTGGCTTCCCCATGTGGGCAGTGGTGACACTTTCTTTGCCTGTGATCCAGACGGCAGGATGAAAGCAGTGTGGCCAGATTTCCAATTTTACTTATATTGTCTACAAAGAGCACATCTCCAGACAGCCCCAAGGGGTAGGAACAAGTCTCCCATTTCTATTCTCCAGAGGAGGAAACAGAGGTTCCAAGAGCCAGCTAGTCCCAGGCACAGCAGAACCCCCAAGGAACCCTCCATCCTCCCTGGGTAGACAGAGGAAGGAGGCCCGGCTTGGCAGCCCTAGCCAGTTGGAAGAGATGGGAGAAATGAGATGTGAAGGCCACCCTTGCCAAGCCCTAGTCAGGCTGCCTAGGAAGGCACCCCTCTGGGCCCAGGGCCTTGCAGCTGAGCAGCTACCCCTGCAGAGTGGCTTTGCCCCAGCTCAAGCAGGGCAGGAGGTGAGTCTTTGCTGTCCAGATTCCTTATCTGATGCAGGTGGGTCCCCTTCTCTCCCAGCTTCTGAGGGAAGGGCCTTGCAGCTGAGCAGCTACCCCTGCAGAGTGGCTTTGCCCCAGCTCAAGCAGGGCAGGAGGTGAGTCTTTGCTGTCCAGATTCCTTATCTGATGCAGGTGGGTCCCCTTCTCTCCCAGTTGCCAGAGCCTGGCAATAGGCTGCCCACTTCCTAGGGTGGAACTCAGCCCCTGTCTCCACAGCCCAAGCTGCACAGAGGTTGGCAGGATGGATGGAAGGGAAGGTCCAGAAGCAGGCTTCTGGGGCCCCTGGGCTTGAGCTGCTGTCCAGGCCCCATAAGCAGCTCCAGCCGTGGAGAGACTGGCTACATACTAGGCTGGGTGAAGTGACCTTGCTCACATCTCCTAACTGTCCTCCTGCCCTGCCCTTAAGCCAGTTTGGGAACCTCACCTTGCTCCTTTGGGCCTCAGTTTCCCCAGGCAGGAGCAATGCCTGCCTTCCCTGCTGGTAGGTTATAGTATGGGGAGAAGGCCACAGGCACTCAGGAGGTGTCATTCTCATGCCTGAGTGACACCACAGGCTAGGGGCAGGGACCCTCTGCCATGTATGGCTGCCCCTCCTGTGCCCTGCGTGCTGGGCCACCAAGTTTTCTTGGCCCCTCATTCCTCCCACAGCCACTGCCCCCAATCAGTGTTGTCACCAACTGTCCCTTGAGCTGACTCTAGGATGACTATCAGCCCCATAGCCCTCTCCTATGCAGGAGCTCAATGGGGGTCGGGAAGTGGGTATTTCATCAATCCTCTCTGACCCCCTGGGCCCCCTACCTTGGTAATGCTGGGGGTGAGTGAGCATAGCCTTGTGACTGGGGCAGGGGTCTGGCTACAGGGTCGCTAGAGGACTGCAGGCAGGGCCCTGATCCCCCAAACATGTGAGCCCTCTCCCTGTCTGGCCTGGCCTCTCTGGAGAAGGCGCAGAGGGGACCCCTCACAAACCCACAGGATAGCCACAGGGGAGCTTGAGAAGGGCCCCTGGGGACCACCTGACCAAATCCCTCCTAGTTCAGAGAAACTGAGGCCAAGTGAGGGGGAGGACTGACTTGCCCACAGGCAGAGACCCCTGTATGGCCCCTCCTGGCAGGGGATGGGTTGGCTCTCCTGTCTGTGCATTGGGCAGTCACTCGCCCACCATGCATTCATTGAGCACCTGCTGTGAGACTGGTGCCAGGAGAAATGTGAAGAGCCAATTTGCCCCTGAGGAGCTCCTCAGGCTCAGAGACAGACCCGTGTCTGACATCAAGGGGACAGAGCCAGAGAGGAGGAGGTAAGCTTGTCTGCTGAGATTGTGCACAGTGAATTCTGGAGCAGTCTCCGGTTATCAAGACAAAGGCTTCCCCACCCAGGCCCCAGCCCAAAGGGGCAGAGCACTGCTTGGGCCTTGAGCTGTTGCCCAGGCAGGAGGTCAGGCTGGACCACAGACAAATGGAAGAGGACTTCAGCCACAGTGAGACCTGAGGCACAAGCAAGCACCTAAACTTCATTGGCTGCAAAGTGGGGATGATAACGGAGGATGACTTTGGGGAGTATCAGAAGCTGAGGCCCTGCCAGGTGGGCAGGGGATGTGGGGAGGTGCCCTGTATGCTGCCTTTCCTCCCCGATTCTTTTCACAGTCCATGCTCTTCCCAGGGTGGTGGCTGCGCCTTTTGCTCCCTTTCCCACCTATCCTGCCCTAAGCGTCCTTGGAGGTGGGGTGGGCAGGTCTGTGTCCCTCCTCAGCCCTTTCCCAGACACCCATGAGAGACCCCTGTCCCTCTGTGAACTCCAGGCTGGATCTCTGTGGTCTCTGGTGGGAGTGAGCAGAAGGGCCCTGGGGTTTAAATGGAGGCAGCTCCAGGTAGCCCCAGTGACCAGAACTAGGGTCAGGATGGAGGTAGCTCCACCATGACCAGGAGGATGGCCCCAGGTAGAGCTGAAGCTGGCCTGGCCTGCAGCTGAAGTACAAGGCTAATTCCTGGTCCACCACGGACCAGGTCAGAAGAACCACCAAGCCAGTGCTGTGATCTGAATGTTTGTGACCTCCAAATTCATGTTGATTATGTTTACCTGGATGGAGCTGGGACATATTCTTCTTAGTAAAGTATCCCAAGAATGGGGGAAAAAAGTATCTAATGTACTCAATACTACTATGAAATCAATATATAACCACCTACCCAATCATACGAATGGCAAAACGTAACTATAGTCCATAAAGTAGAAGGGAAGAGGAGAGACAGGGATAGGGAGAGGGGATATGGGAGAAGAGAGGGTATTCCGGAGGACCTCATCTAATGTGCATGATGCAATGGTACATTTCAAAACTATTAAGAAATGAGTATAATTGTGATGGATGAGTTACTTGGTTCAATGTAAACATTTCACACTGTATATCGAAGCAGTACCCTAACCCCCATAAATGCATCAATGTACAAAGTTATGATTTAATAAAAAATAATTATTTAAAATAAATAAACAAATTCATGTTGAAATCCCAACCAACAGTGATAGTGTATAGGAGGTGGGCCTTTGGGAGGTGATCAGGGCATAAGGGTAGACCTGGGCATTCAGGAAAGGGAGCAAATGGGGCATTCCTTGGCACAGTGACTCAGCTCACACCTGTAATCCCAGCACTTTGGGAGGCTGAGGCAGAAGAATCACTGAGCCCAGCCTGCAGTGAACTATGATCGTGACACTGCACTCCGGCCTGGGTGACACAGAAAGCCCATCTTTAAAATAAACAAATTTTAAAAAAGTAAATGAGGCCTAAGGGAGCTAGTTGGCCCCTTCCACCATGAACGCCCTCCCTTGAAAATGGTCATACAGCAAGGTTCTCCTTACCTGGGACATGCCCCCTCCAAGACCGCCAGGGGATGCCTCATCGTCCCTATACAACTTTTTTTCCTACACTTACACAATTAAGTTTAATTTATAAATTAGGCATAGCAAGAGATTACTCATAATAAATAATAAAGCAGAACAATTACAATATGCTGTAATAAAGGTAAGTGAATGTGGTCTCAGAATCTCCTGTACTGTCCTGACCTATTTTGTGATGAGATGATAAAATGCCTACATGATAAGACAAAGTAAGGTGAATGGCACAGGCATTGCAATGAAGCATTTAAAACTCATGAATTAGGGGCAGCGCCTGTCGCTCAAAGGAGTAGGGTGCCAGCCATATATGCTGGAGGTGGCAGATTCAAACCCAACCCTGGCCAAAAACTGCCAAAAAAAAAAAAACCTCATGAATTATTTATTTCTGGAATTTTCAACTTAATATTTTCAGACCATAGTTGACCATGGGTAACTAGAAACATGAAAAGAAAAACCATAGATAGACTACGGTATAAACCTTCTCACAATGTGTGAGCACTGTTTTCCAGATGAAAAAACTAAAGCCAGAGAAGGGGATGGTTTTGGTCAGGGCCACTCACATGTGCCCAGCGCCTGGCAGCAGGTGTTGACTCGGGATGGTTCTGCTGCTAAACCAATGTTTAATACCTGATGGGCTTCTTACCACTTGGCTTGCTGGGCTGCACCCCAAAGTTTCTGAGTGACCAGCTTAGGGATGGAGCCCGGAGTTGGCACCCCTACCAAGTCCCAGGTTATGCTGGCTGAGCACCTCACTCCAACAACCACTGGTCCCCAAAGTAAGTCAGTACTACCAAAGGCACCAGCAAGTCTCTGTTTGGTGGTCACGCTGATTTTACATGATCAGAAAACATCCCCTAATGCCAGCTCTGGGGCATAAAATCTGGGCCCCACAGACCCAGAGACTCATCAGTCTGGTCCCAGGCCCAAGGTAGTAGGGACAGAAGAGACAAAGACAGCCCAGGAGGGAGGGACACAGGCCAGTCTGATGTCTCATCCTGAGCTATTCCCATGGTTTCCAAGCAAGGGGCAGGGAGGTTTTAGATGGTGACCATGTGGTAGAGGTCACCTGTGGATGGACACCTTGTTGTGTTACTGATGAACTGTGTGTCCATAGGCAAGTCCCTTCATCTCACTGCCCCTTGGTTTCCTTATCTAGACATGACAAATGGTTCCTGTCTTCCCTCTAATTATGTGCAGTCAGGGTGTGAAAGTGCTTGATAAAACACACAAATATGGGCTGCCTTACTGTGAAGATTGTCTCAAACCCACATACCATCCCAGGCCAAGCCAACAGTAATCGCATCCCAGGTGGAAACTCCAGCTTCTTCCAACCAGTCACTAAGCCTGAATTCTTCTAAACAAAATAAGGCTGTGTATAAGGAGACTGACAGAGGATTTTTGTTCTTCTTTGAAACTTTATGAT